GGGGGGTCTCAGGTCCCTCTCTGTGCCCCCCAGGTGCGGGGGGCTCCGGCCATCGCCCCTTGAGGGACCCCCAAATCCATTCTGGGGGGTCTCAGGTGCCGTTCTGTGCCCCTTCCCCAGGATTTTGGGGGGTCTCGGGTGCCCCCCCGGGTTTTGGGGATCCCCAATCCATTCTGGGGGGTCTCAGGTCCCTCTCTGTGCCCCCCAGGTGCGGGGGGCTCCGGCCATCGCCCTGCTGGGCTGCCTCAGCCTGGCCGTGGAGCTGGCGGGGGGCGCGGGCCCCCAGGACGATTTGGGGGCGCTGGAGGAGTTCGTGGGGCAGAAATTGGGGTTCCTGCTCAGCGCCCGCCCCACGGCCGCCAACCTGGGCCGGGAGGCCGAGCGGCTGCGGGGGTGGGTCCGGAAAAAGGTGGAGACCCCCGGGGTGACCCCCCAGGAGCTGCGGGAGAGGTAACGGGGGCTTGGGAGAGGGGGTTTGGGGGTTCCAGGCGGGGATTTGGGGGGTTTGAGGGGGTTTGCGGGGGGGGATTTGGGATGCACGGTCAGGGGACAGGGACAGGGGACAGGGGACACAGGGACACGGGGACACATGGGGCACGGCGTGCACGGTCAGGGGACAGGGACACAGGGACACGGGGACAGGGGACGGGGACAGGGGACACAGGGGGGACACACAGGGAGCACGGCGTGCACGGTCAGGGGACACCGGGGATAGGGGACAGGGGACATGGGGGGGACACAGAGAATGGGGTGTGGGAGCACCGCGTGCACGGTCAGGGGACATCGGGGAACAGGGCAGGGGAGACAGGAAGGGACACGGGAGGGACAGGGCAGGGGCACAGGCTGGGGACACACAGAGCAGGGTGAGGGAGACATGGGGACACGGGGGCGACACGGGGGGGACACAGAACAGGGTGAGGGGACGGGGTGGGGACACAAAGAACAGGATGGGGACACAGAATGGGATGGGGACAGGGAAAGGGACATGGGATGGGGACACACAGGGTGAGGGGGACGGGCTGGGGACAGGATGGGGACAAGGAGGAGGGACACAGGGTGGGTGACAGGGTGGGGACACAGGAGGGACATGGGGTGGAGACACAGAATGGGGTGAGCGGGACACAGAGGGGACAGGATGGGGACACAGAAAAGAATGGGGACAAAGAGGAGACACACGGGATGGGTGACAGGATGGGGACACACAGAACGGGGTGAGGGCACACAGGAGGGACACGGGGTGAGGTGACACAGAATGGGGACAAGGAAAGGGGACACAGGGTGAGGACAGGTGACCCAGGACAGAACAGGGACAAAGAGCAGAGCCACGGCGAGGGGACCCCCAGGTGACGCAGCCCTGCGGTGTCCCCAGCCGTGGTGGTGGGCGCCGACCGCGTGGCGGCCAACGGCGACGTGGCCAACAAGATCGGGACGTTCCAGCTGGCGCTGGCCGCGCGCCACCTGCGCGTCCCCTTCTACGTGGCCGCCCCCGGCAGCACCTGCGACCCCGCGCTGGCCTCGGGCGGCCTCATCCCCATCGAGGAGCGGCCGGGCAGCGAGCTCACCCAGCTCGGGGGCGTGCTCCTGGCTGAGCCCGGTGGGTGCCACGGCGGGGAGGGGGGCGGGATAGGGTGAGGGGACGGGGTGGGGACACAGAGCAAGGCGGGGACACATAATGGGATGGGGACAGGGAAAGGGACATGGGATGGGGACACACAGGGTGAGGGGGACGGGCTGGGGACAGGATGGGGACAAGGAGGAGGGACACAGGGTGGGTGACAGGGTGGGGACACAGGAGGGACATGGGGTGGAGACACAGAATGGGGTGAGCGGGACACAGAGGGGACAGGATGGGGACACAGAAAAGAATGGGGACAAAGAGGAGACACACGGGATGGGTGACAGGATGGGGACACACAGAACGGGGTGAGGGCACACAGGAGGGACACGGGGTGAGGTGACACAGAATGGGGACAAGGAAAGGGGACACAGGGTGAGGACAGGTGACCCAGGACAGAACAGGGACAAAGAGCAGAGCCACGGCGAGGGGACCCCCAGGTGACGCAGCCCTGCGGTGTCCCCAGCCGTGGTGGTGGGCGCCGACCGCGTGGCGGCCAACGGCGACGTGGCCAACAAGATCGGGACGTTCCAGCTGGCGCTGGCCGCGCGCCACCTGCGCGTCCCCTTCTACGTGGCCGCCCCCGGCAGCACCTGCGACCCCGCGCTGGCCTCGGGCGGCCTCATCCCCATCGAGGAGCGGCCGGGCAGCGAGCTCACCCAGCTCGGGGGCGTGCTCCTGGCTGAGCCCGGTGGGTGCCACGGCGGGGAGGGGGGCGGGA